ACTTTACGCAGGTTGCTCACTTCACTAATATCACAAAATCCAGAATAGGCGAGTCAAATCCTCTCTTCTCCTATGGTGAACATTAAATATCACACTGGACTAGCACAAAACCTCCTTCCCACCTTGAACAGCTGGGCTGAAAATGCTGCATGATTAAGTTTGGTTATTTTGTTCTCATACCACTAAATCCACCGGACAATTTAGAACAACACAGAAGAATCAATCATCTCGTCTCAAGAGAAATACAATGATCGAGGTGTAGTGGGTGCTACAGGGTAAATTTATAACACACGGCATATCCAGCAGAAGGGCAGGGGACAGATCAGTCTGGACAGAACTTGCATCAATACCTTTTTCTTTAGGATCCATCTCCACCATTGAGAGAGACAGCATAGTAAACTAGATGAACTTAACGTCTGGCCTAACATGGCATTTCTTGTGTTCATGCGGTAGAAAATTGCAAGAGGTAGGCTTATAAAAAAGCACTCTTCACATACTGTGCCTCGCCTCAGAGAGGATTATCAATTTGCCACTTTCATAAACCTGTGTTTTCAGCTTGTGTATTTCCTTTCAAATGACAAGTAGTGGTTTTAAAAGCTTAGAGAGCATCAAACACCACTAAGAAAGACAAATATTTTAAACAATAAAAAACAGTAAATCATTAAAGATAATCAATCTTTAGCGAAACATTTCCTTTAGTCCAAGTGTAAGTCACAGAAGTTTGATGTTCTTGCATGAGGTATCTGCATTATATGAAGAATATCCTATGCATCTTAGCTTATCTACTTTAAATTAACTAGCCTATGTGCACCAATACACTTCAAAGAAGGCAGATGGGGAAAACAAGGAGAAAAAGAAATAGCAGTGATAAAAAAAAAAAAATGGTGTAAACATCTTCAATAAAGATAATAAGAGCTGGGACATTAGGTGCAGAGATACTATTTTGCAGGTGATAAAAATAACGCAGCTTGGCTGCCAAGGGGTAAAATATTTTTAAGACCATGGCCATTCAACAGAACCCCAAAAACAGTGAGAAGATGTATACGCTGCTCAAATAGAGGATGCTGACAAATATACAGGAGCCAGTTACCCAAAGATGCAGTAATGCAGCTCACGTAAACATACCGAAACCAACTTCAAACAGAGACAAAATGCATGCAGAGTCATTTATTACTTTACTACTTGTCTCCTACTTCTATGCATCACTGAGCACACAAATACTGAGTACACAAGTACTTTGTTTTGAAGGAGCAGTTTTTGAGACACTTGAAAAAGCAGATGTCACAGACTCCTAGAGAAAAAGGTCTTGAAGCTACCTAGGACATACAGACAGGAAATGTTAACATAGCTGGTCAACAAGAGGGCTTTCAGTCCAGAGACTCAAGTCAAGCAGTAGTTCCACTCAGCTGAAGAGTGAAGGTAGGTAAAAAAGTACATCTGAGAGATCACAGAAAGTGAGGGTCAAAGGGACCTCAGGAGGTCACATCATCAGCGACTGGGACGAGGGAGTGAAGTGTACTCTGTCCAAGTTTGCGGATGACACAAAGCTATGGGGAGAAGTGGACACGCCGGAGGGCAGGGAACAGCTGCAGGCAGACCTGGATAGGTTGGACAAGTGGGCAGAAAACAACAGAATGCAGTTCAACAAGGAGAAATGCAAAGTGCTGCACCTGGGGAGGAAAAATGTCCAGCATACCTACTCCCTAGGGAATGACCTGCTGGGTGGCACGGAAGTGGAAAGGGATCTTGGAGTCCTAGTGGACTCCAAGATGAACATGAGTCGGCAGTGTGACGAAGCCATCAGAAAAGCTAATGGCACTTTATCATGCATCAGCAGATGCATGACGAATAGATCCAAAGAGGTGATACTTCCCCTCTATCGGGCGCTGGTCAGACCACAGTTGGAGTACTGCGTGCAATTCTGGGCACCGCACTTCAAGAGGGATGCGGATAACCTGGAGAGGGTCCAGAGAAGGGCCACTCGCATGGTTAAGGGCTTGCAGGCCAAGCCCTACAAGGAGAGACTAGAGAAACTGGATCTATTCAGCCTCCGCAAGAGAAGGTTGAGAGGCGAACTTGTGGCTGCCTATAAGTTCTTCACGGGGGCACAGAAGGGAATTGGTGAGGTTTTATTCACCAAGGCACCCCCAGGGGTTACAAGAAATAATGGCCACAAGCTAGCAGAGAGCAGATTTAGACTGGACATTAGGAAGAACTTCTTCACAGTTAGAGTGGCCAAGGTCTGGAACGGGCTCCCGAGGGAGGTGGTGCTCTCCCCTACCCTGGGGGTCTTCAAGAGGAGGTTAGATAAGCATCTAGCTGGGGTCATCTAGACCCAGCACTCTCTTCTGCCTATGCAGGGGGTCGGACTCGATGATCTACTGAGGTCCCTTCCGACCCTAACATCTATGAATCTAGTCCAACCCCCTGGCTTTAAGCAGGACCAGCCCCAACTAGATCATCCCAGCCAGCGTTTGGTCTATCCGGGCCTTAAACACCTCCAAGGATAGAGACTCCACCACCTTTCTGGGTAACTTGTTCTAATGCTTTACCACCCTCCCAGTGAGACAGTTTTTCCTAATATCCAACCTAAACTTCCCTTGCTACCACTGGAGCCCACTGCTCCTTGTTCTGTCATCTGCCACCACGGAGAACAGTCCAGCCTCATCCTTTTTGGAGCCACCCTACAGAGAGTTGAAGGTTGCTATCAAATCTCCCCTCAGTCTGCTCTTCTGAAAACTAAATAAGCCCAGTTCTCTCAGCCTCTCTTCACAAGCCTCGTGTCCCAGCCCCCAAACTATTTTCGTTGGCCTTCTCCACTGGACTCTACCCAACTTGTCCACATCCTTTCTATAGTGGTGGGTCCAAAACTGGACACAAGAGTCCAGATGTAGCCTCACCAATGCCTACTAGAGGGGAATAATTACTTCCCTTGATCTGCTGACAACGCTCATACTAATGTATCCCAGGATGCCATTAGTTTTCTTGGCAACAAGGGCACGCTGTTGACTCATATCCAGCTTCTTTTCCACTGTGACCTCCAGGTCCTTTTCTGCAGAGCTGGTGCCCAGCCAGTCACCCCCAGCATGGGGTTCTTCTGTCCTAGGTGCAGCACTTTGCACTTGTCTTTGTTGAACCTGAGATTTCTTTTTGTCCAATCCTCCAATTTGTCAAAGTCACTCTGAATCCTAGCCCTACCTTCCAGCATATCTACTACTCCCCCCAACTTGGTGTCATCCATGAACTTGCTTAGGGACCACTCTATGCCATCTTCCAGATCATTAATGAAGATATTGAACAAAACCAGCCCAAGGACCAACCCCTGGGAATCTCCATTTGATACCGGGCTGCCAATTAGACATTAAGCCATTTATCACTATCTATTGAGCCCGATGATCCAGCCAGCTTTCTACCCACCTTACAGTCCATTCATTCAACCCATACTTCCTTCACTCGCTTGTAACAATGCTGTCCGAGACCATATCAAAAGCCGTGCTGAAGTCATGGTAAAGATATTACACCACAGCTTGCCCTTAGGGGTACATTGATAGAGATTTTGGGGGCTGATACCAATAGCCATTTTTTAAGGAGGCATGTTGGCCGATACCGATCCGATTTCTGATACGCAGCACTGCAACTTGAAGAGCTGGTAAGTCTGTGGTGGAAGGGGTGTGGGGGGAAAAAAAAAGGAGGGTGTAGGGGAGAGGCAGATCAAGGCTCCTGCAGTGAGGGCGGAGTGGGGCAGGGGCTGAGACGGCTTGTTTTTTCATGTTATATGAGAGTGTTCAGACCTAGTTTGGACAATGTAAAGCTGTGATAAGTCTAATTTTTATCCCTTTTATAGATCATGTGCCACTCACTCTAACATACTCTGGTGTTGGAAGCATCTTGAGTTTCATCTCAGACCCTGTGCATGATAAAGTGACCCAAGCACAAAACAACCCTTAAACAACTAAAGGGCACAGCAGATGCTTTTACATAGGGACTTCCTCTGTTTGCTGCAATCCAAATCCATATAGCAGGTTCACTTTTACATAGCCAGGAATTATCTACAATGAACTGTGATTCACCCAGAGAGTTCTTCTGATGATAGACTTATATGTACTACTTCAAAAGGTACATTTCATTGATGGATATTTATTTCCTTGGGCTCTTCAAGCAGATCACATATTATATCAATAAATGGGATGAACTTCAAAAACTGTCATGGTGCACAGCCTACAGTAACCAGGGTAAGTCTTCAGGAATGTGTCCAATCCCTGACCTTCAGTTTTCAGTTTTAAAACAAAGACTGTTTGCTTTGGTGGGGAAGAGACAGTGATGCATAATTAACATTAACCAGCTGATTGCTGGGCCACGCCTTTGACTGAAATTCTGAACAGGAAACCTAAATATAGAAATTTCTCTCTCCTCTTTTGCACATTATCAGTGAGCTTTTAGTCATAATGAAGCAACAAACTATTGTTTGACTATGAGTTGCTTTAGCAGTCTGGGATGAATTGTTCCATTTTCACAAGACATGAAAACCTCAAGGCTGAGCTCCTCAAAAGCTGGAATTCACATTTCTATTTCATTCCAATGTAATCATTCTCCTCCCTTGGATTTAACAAGCTGTGAATGTCCTGACATCTTACTATGCCCCCTCCCAGAATAAATCTGGGATCAAAAACCGTCCAAAACAACCATGCTGTTTAAAGGTGTAGCAAATGCCTGGATGGCTTTCCTTAATGCCTTAGCAATCTGTTCCACAAGCTCTTCAGCAATTATTATAGTAATGCTGTTCACATAGCTGTGGTTAAGCATCTACCAGCATGTGTCATTTTTCACCACAAGTCTATTTTCAGCAGTTTATAAAGTGGCTGGCAAAATTCACTTCAGGGTGAAGTCTGGCCACGTGCATTCTCCAGTCAGAAATGAGATGCTGTTTTGCAAAACTTAAAAATGCATGCTCCAGGAAACGTAGGGCCAGGGCTCCTCCCCTGGCCCTGCACAACAAGTACGCTCCCCTCCCTACACATGAGAAGGCTCTGATGGTGACACCAGAGGAGGAGGAAGGTAAGCAGCTTGTTCTGACCCCCAAGAGGAGGTGCAAGGTGGTGGTGGTGGGGGATTTCCTCCTGCAGGGCACTGAGGGACCCATCTGCCGTGCGGACCCCCTAGCCCCTGAGGTCTGCTGTCTCCCTGGGGCTCACATCCGAGGCATTGAGGAGAGGATCCCCAGGCTCGTTAGGGCCTCCAACTACTACCCCATGAGCCTCATCCATGTGGGAACGAACAACACGGCCAGGAGTAATCTGGACCGGGTCATGAGTGTCTACAGGGCTCCAGGGCTCAGGTAGTTTTTTCTTCTGTGCCCCCTGTTGCAGACCATGGCCCTAGGAGGGAAGGTTGTATCGAGGAAGTGAACTGACATCTCCGATGGTGGTGCCACAGAGGGCTTTGGTTTCCTCAATCGCAGCGCACAATTCAGGGAGAGAGAACTCCTGGGAAGAGACAGCATCCACCTCACATGGAGAGGTAAGTCCCTGTTCATGGCCAGGATGGCTGATCTTCTAGATGGGGCTTTAAACTAAGTTTGCTGAGGGACGGGGAAACACTAACTGGAGCATGCCCAGGGACCGACATACAAGAAAGCTCCATTGATAGGGACACTAGAAGAGCCACTCTTGTGGGAGCTGAGGGAGTAGTTTTTCATCAGCGTGACAGGATGTTGAGGGCCTCGTTAGAAGGACTCGGGTGCCTGTACACTAATGCCAGGAGCGTGGAGAAGCAGGAAGAGCTAGCCCTCCTGCTTTCCAGTGGGCATTATGAGCTAGTCTATATACAAAAGGCTTGCAGAAGGCAGCTTTCAGAACGACAGCCAGCATGGCTTCGCCACCAGCAGGTCTGGTCTTACCAACCTCATCTCCTTCTATGATCAGGTAACTCACCACCTGGATAAGGGAAAGGAAGTTGACATAGTATAGCTCGACTTCCAAAAGGCCTTTGGATCTAATATCCCATGATGTTCTCGTGAGAAAATTGGAGGACTGTGGCCTTAATTGTGAGACAGTTAGGTGGGTACAAAGCTGCCTGTGGGGTAGGACCCAGATCTGTTCATTAGAACTCTCTATGTCATTTTGGCGAGAAGTGGCCAGTGGTGTCCCTCAGGGATCAGTGCTTGGTCCAGCGCTTTTCAACATTTTTATCAGTGATTTGGATGTGGGAGTAAAGAGCTCGCTGGCCAAGTTCACAGACAATACCAAGTTACAGAGGACTGTGGTCATGCTTGAAGATAGGCTGCAGATACAGGTGGACCTAGACAGGCTAGCTTGGGCAGATCAGAATCAGATGAAGCTCAATGCTGAGAAATGTAAAGTGCTCCACCTGGGGACAAAAAGCCTCCTAATACACTTACAGGCTTGGCAACGCCAAACTGACCAGCACCACAAATGAAAGGGACCTGGGGGTAATAACAGAACGCAGTATGAATATGAACCGGCAGTGTGATGCTGTAGCCAACAAGGCAAATAATACCCTGGCATGCATCAATCAATGCATCTCCAGCAAAACTAGGGAAGTGATTCTTCCACTCTACTGGTATTGGTGAGACCACAGCTGGAGTGCCGTGTCCAGTACTGGGTGCTGCACTTCAGCAAGGATGTGGTAAAGCTCGCGGGAGTCCAAAGAAGGGCCACCCATATGATTGGAGACTTGCACGGCAAGCCATACGAGGAAAGGCTGAGGGACCTGGGATGCTTCAGCGTGGAAAAGAGAAGGCTGAGACTGGACTTGATAGCGGCTTACCACTACATCGGGGTGTACATCAAGGGCTCGGTGAACAACTGTTCACCAGGGCACCTTTGGGGAAAACCAGGAGTAATGGTCACAAACTCCTGGAAGACAGTTTCAGGCTCAACATTAGGAAAAATGTCTTCACAGCTAGGGTGTCCAGACTGTGCAATAAGCTCCCTTCAGAGGTGGTGCAATCGCCTGCCCTGGAAATCTTCAACAGGAGACTGGATGGTCACCTTGCTGGTATTACCTGACTCCCAGTTGTCTTTCCTGCTTGGTGCAGGGGACTGGACCCAACGATCTCCCGAGGTCCCTTCCAGCCTCACAGTCTATGAATCCATGAAGAAACTATAAATCAATCTTAGCGTCCTACTAAATTAAACTACCTTGGTATACAAGACACTGGTGAACAAATACCAGACGTTTCATAACTACAACGAACCAAAAGCTCAGAAGCCATCACAGCTTCATTAACAGCAGTACAAAACTTTGCATCACATGGTTCTGCAAGAGAACTACTACTGAACACTGATGTCATATTCTAGTTGCAAAATTAAAGCAAGAATAAAAATATATTTTCGAAAAAGGGGTACAACAACTATCTATAGCTGCTCTCCATTCTTTAATATTTCATTAGAGGCCAGCACATGACATTTCGCCCCTCCCTCCCCACCAAAGAATGTTCTATTTATCCTCTGGCAAACTACTGAATCTTCTGCTCTAGTGTCCTCAACTCAGGTTAAATTAAAAAAAAAAAGACACTTAGTTTAACATCATCTTCCATTTGTCATGGCAAAATATCCTTCATGCACAAAGCATGATTAGCACGAACTTGGTTCTTAGAATAAATGTGACTTGACTGTTTTGCGCTCGTAAGAAACATGTAACTTAAGTGTTGGGGGACAAAAAAAATAAAGCTACTTGGATCCACTTCTTTAAAGTAAGCCTAAGCAACAGACAAGAGGGGAAAATATGAAATCAGGACCTTTATTTTAAAAACTTTCAAGGTAAATTTCCCATCAGGTACACCAATCTCTATTGATTAAGCCCCAAGCATCTTGCTATTTCAGGATCAATGCTGCAGGCAGCAGTTCCCAAATGCCTGTTTTTAGGGAATGAGTCTCATTTCTACACAGGGAAGAACAGGGCCAATTGTTTGTCATTTAGAAGACCGAAATGTATGGCCAGCTGGATTGCCCAGGAAGAGATTCTGTTACTCTACAATCATCCAGTGGCAATTAGCTTATGGCAGCTCTGTCTAGGCTGGGAAACATGATAAAAACACAAGCAGAGGGGAATACAGCAAGTGAAGATGAAAAGGCTACTGACTTGAACCAGGTCAACAAGGAATAGAAAAATATGTTCTCCACATGCTAAAGGCCAATGCAAATCTCTCCTTTGTCGGAGGAAGGTGATATGCCACTGCAGGGAGTTAACAATCAAGCCTCGGTTCCCTGCTTTGGAAACCTGGATTCAAAGTATGGCCTAATCAAAATGGCAAGGAGGGCGGTCATTCCAGCTTCTAAAGGACACATCTCCGTACCACGAATGTAATTTTGAACAATGTAGATGAATTGGCAGCCTGCTCAAGGGACACCCAGCATCAGCTTCACAGAGAAAGTCACAAAAAGGTTGCAGAGCTCTGGTCAAGTTGTATGGGGATCCTACACAGACCGTGTTTTAAATGGCCCCAATTCAGAAATGTACTCAAGTGTGGCAATTACTGAATTTGGCAAGCAACATCCTGACAGCATCATCATGGATGTTCTACTTCCACAGGCACTAAATTCAATCAAAACCCCAACCCCTTTCCTATTCTGGAGAATTTCAAGTCACAGCAATGTTACCCTAAGGATTCATGTCACACAGAGTATAAGCATTAATAGCACTGTCTTCTAATGGCAGAGCGCCTGTCTACATAGGGACACTTAGGAAAAATTAAGAAGATTTAGCTAAAGCACAATAAACCCATGTGGCTGCATGAACAAAGGTGTTCTTTGTTCATATTAACCTAAACCAAATAGTCCTATGCAGGTTTAATGTGCTTTCACTTCACACCTGCAGTTAATTCATCATAATTTTGCTTCATGTCCCCATCTAGAAATGCTGAGTCAATTCCAAGCTGATGCATCTTCTTCAGCTGACCCCAAAGAAGCAAACAGCAGACAGGGTCTCATGCTGGGGAATTTCTGCCAGAAATATTAAGGCACGACAAGACATCTGAAGGGTGCAGTGGATGTCAGCTTGGAATTTCCTACTGTTTGTCGCTTAGCCCAAGTCGATGAATGGTAATTTTTTTTTTTAATTTAATGTTCTCAAACAGCCTGAAAACATTCACAGTAGGCTGCAACTGTAATCCAATCAGATCATTTCCCCTGATGAAAATCCTTTTGGCATTATTCTAGGGAAAGCCTTGCTGATGTACATTTCTCCTTCTTGTCTGCTTTAACTAGATTATTCAACACATTAATAAGCAGAACATTTCAGCTGTCCTGCTGTTGCATTGGAGGTTTGCAACAGTAAATCCTCATCAACATATTCTCACAAAGTTGCAATGTGACAGAATACTAAGGTCTCTCTTCCTTCCCCCACTGGACACAGAAAATCAGGCGAGCTTTACTCCAGCCTTTGCTCAGCTTCTGAATATCAGAGATGGTCGGTTGTTACGGGCAACAAATGGGTGGGGATTATTTTGTGGCAAGACTGAGCAGCATCTACCTTTTTAACCAAGATAAAAACGCCATTTAGCGCACTGATTATGGAGCAGGAACCCTGAGTATATTAGATAAGGGAGAGAGCATGAGACAGCAAACTACTCCCAAGCTGAAATGCTACTTGAGAGCTACCATTTAAACACATAAATAGCACTAACATGAGTAAAGGCACTTGGCCAAGTTGAAGCAAACCCAAAAACAGATGGAAGGAAAACTCCTACAACCACAAACACCCACTGCACCCAATTCCAAATGCTTTTCATAAACATTAAGCCTCAACTCACTTGAGATAAGAGACTATCCTCATTCTCATACATGCAAAGCAGTTAAGGGACTTAACCAAGAGGAAGGAGTCCTGATGAGCTCTTCCAGCCACCACAGGACAACTCTCCTTGCACCGTCACTTTGCAATCACATCATAGCAACTTTAATTTGCCATTTTGGACACAAGAGAGAGACTAATCAAATTGCAGGAGGTAGAGAGGAGGTCAAACAAGTCTCTCCCCCAACCAACGTTGGATTGTTTTACACTGATCACACATGCTATAAGCACCTACATGCTGAAAATCAAGTCCCTAAAAAATTGAATAGTACAGCATACTAAATAAAATATGGGGTAAAATTCATCATTCCAGAATTCATAAGTAAGCACGTTGGTAACTGCCGAGTCCAACAGCAATGGTCCTCAAATACTGACCTGCATCTAAAAAGAAATGGATTCAGAACAGAACCAACAGTAAAAATAAATCTCTTGCATTTTCCCCATCCCATTCCCAGCCATTTATCTGTATCTATTTCTTATGAAATCACCACCTTGACACAGATGCAAGCCACAAGGACTTCGATACCAGTCAAATACCTAAAAACCCACACTTCTGTTTCTCCATCTAGCTAAACAACATTTTCTGTTGAGCACTTAACTTTTTTTCAGACACTGTAGGAAAGGCACCTACCAGAACCACATAGTTTCAGCTCAAAGTAAATTTTAAGTACGTAAAGCTCTAAAGTTTTTCTACCTGCTTCCAAAAACCTGGAGTGGGGGGGGGGGAGAGATGGGAGGAGTCTGATTTTCAAAAGTGCAGAGTACCCACCAGCTTCTGTTCATTTCAATGGGATCTGCTTGTTCTTAACACTCCTGAAATTCAGGCCAAAGTTGGTCACTGAACTTCAGACAAACATTTCTCCAAGTCTTGGCCTCAAGGTTTTCCCACAGATGGTATCTGGTGAACTCACAGATTGGGATGAGAAATACAACACCCTGATTCAATCTGTTTATGCTACGAGACAAAAAGCTCAAAAATACAAATTAAAGTGTCACCATCAAATAGTTCTCCGCAGAGCAAATATAAACAATGTGCCATCATCTTCAGATAATAAATACCATGAAGAAAATAACAGCTACCTAAAAAAGCCCTGGGGGATGGCTCTGGACTTGATCCTATATTACATGGCTGCTTAAGCACCACCCTCTGTATCAGAGGGCTGCAATAAGCTCTAAGCAGGTTTTGTTCAATAAGAGTTCGACTTTGCCGTGCTGACAGCTCACCATTTCAGAAAACTGACAAAATGTATGTTTGGTACCAAGATGGCAGAACCAGAACATTAAGTCAGAGCATACAGCGTAACCAAATGCTTTTAAGACAGGCAAACGATCCATCCCCATCACTTCGGGCATCTAAAAATAAATAAATAAATAAATGGCCCATTTGGTATAACCCAAGCCCAAGCCAAATCTTCTTGATGCCCTGCAGGTTTTTCCTGAAGCAATTTACACTGCAATAGCCAGAAGGTAAATTCCATGAGACATGCACACCTTCCTCTTGCCAGAGATCAGCAACGTGTTTAGGACAGTTATTTTTGTCCCAAGTCATTTAATCTATTCTAACATCTATTTTCTGAGTTCCATGTGCGCTACAAGCCACGTCACACCTTGAAAACATCAGAGACCGCTAAGCATACAAAGGGCTTCTCTTTATGTCTGTGCTATCGATCCTTAGGATCATACAACATGATTAGGACATCATAATGCTGAGGTAAGAAAACTGCCAACAAAAGCAGCACAAATTACATGCATCTTTGGAACTATTCACTACATGGCTCACTTCACATCAGATCCCCCATGTCGGAGCTGGCAATTTAAAGTAAATAGGACAAAGGCCCACCTGTGTTGGCGTTTGGTATTTTTCAAAACCATCCCATTCCCTTCTTTTACACATGGTCTGCCTAGTAATCCACACAGTTTTTCTTTGATGCATGCAGTACTCCTGAAATTATTGCTAGTGATGAAGGTTTGGCTGAAGTGCTATGATGTATGCAACTTTTTTGCAGATACATAGGAATCCTTGTTCGAATCCAGGCTAATCAATGGCCTTCAAACCTTGGCTATTCAAAGTCCTCAACCAGTGCTTGCTTACACTCCATCTAAACAAAGTAGAAAAGGGGAAAGTATTCTGAGAAAGCCTGTGTGTTCACGAGCCCAGTCCTAAAGATATAATCACAACAGTAAAGGCCTGCTGCATTAAAAGTGACTAAAGGTTGAGGGCATGTGTCAGTCAGTGAAGCTTGGGTGTGTCAAGGAAAAAAAAAAAGCTGAATAATGCAACTATCTGCTGAACTTGAGAAAAAGAGTCCTGTTATTATGCGCTTAAAAGATACCATTGCTGTAGTGTTATGTTAAAGCTTCCACACATGCCTGTCACTAATGAGAAAATCTGAACAATAATCATCCATTTCAACTTACCCCTAGTAGCAGAGTAAGCAAGCCTGCTTATGCACTTCTATCACATCACCTATTTATTTATTTATTTATTACAGTAATATCCACAGGGATCTCTTTGCATCTATCAAGAAACCAATACAAACTTCTTATTTCCTCCCCAAAGAGAAACATCCTTCCAGGCAAACATCCTTCTTTAGTTGTGAAGAGTGACTCAAGGCACCTGGCTCAAGATGATAAACGGAAAGGCTATGCAAAGCTTCCTGCACATGCTGACCCAGAGAGACAAATACTAGGCTTGAAAACACAGGAATGGTTGGTGATACCCTTTCTGTATACCACAAATGTGCCCTGCAAGGATTATTTCCGAGACAACAAAGGGGTAGGCTCCTTTATTCTGGCAAAATGTACATGCCTATCATTAATTGAAGAGAACTGCACTTCCTTATCAGCAACTATCATAACCAGCTACCATAATGCCTTAGCCCAAGATCAACACTGCACACACAAGAATATATAGCTCAGAAACAAAGGCAGTACCTGCCCCTGAGAGCTTAAAGCATAAGAATGCGAGAGCCTGAGTGGGTGGTGAAACTGCTGACATCCAACAGAAACTGCTCAATAAACTAAACTACTCAGATACAAATAAATCCCTCCGCATAATTTTACCAAGACTCAGCTACGTTCCTCCGATAAGGACGACAATTTGCTAAAGGGGACTAAAAGTAGGAGGAAAGATAACAGGGTGCCTAGTTCAGTGATACAGAAGCATGCCTTCAGTGAGTGGGACTAAAGCTAATTATATCTCGGCAGCCAGCAGTTATTGACAGCAGGTTTAGGGCAAAACTTTTAAAAGACAACTATAAATGTATTTTTAAATAGGATCTGCATGTACAGCAACCTGTATACACAGGTGGCAAGGGCTAGTAATTATGAATCAAAGGAATCAGAGGCACGATCAATGCCTGCTTGGTTCCATAGCATAACCTGAACATAGATAATTCCTCCTACAACGGGACAGAACTGCTTTCCAGTACTGTCTGATCACATGGAGGTGATGGATATTTTGCCCTAGTGTATTTGGGGTTTGCAGTTCTGTGACACACTTGGTCATAACAAGATCCAAATAAATGTACCAAGGAGTCTGCAAGCCTGACTCAAATCACAGTGCTTTAGTGGAACAGTAATTTGAGCCACAGCCTAAGCTAGCCAAGAGCCCGTCAAACAAAGAAGCCCTTGCATTTTAGCATTCATTTCAGAAACACGATAAGCAAGCGAACTGCAGAAAGTGAAAAAAATCCTACTTGTTTATATGGCCAGGAGTCTAATCAGGCTAAGTCTCATCTGAAGGAAGAGTCTTGGTTTAGATTTTAAATCAAATAATTAACAAGACTACAATTAAACACAACCTATTGCAAAGCACTGAGATCACACAGCAGCAAGGTCCCTCATGAAGGTTTTCCCCAGGTCTCTTGTTCCACGCATCTTAGGGGACCTGTTGGTCTGCACATTACATGAAAGTAAGGGCCTTGAGGAACCCAGTCTAATGCATGATGCTTTTGAAAGCTGCTGCTCTGGCAGGTGTGACTTCTAAACCAAACCTGGAAAATGTCTACATTACGTAGTCTGAATATAATGTCCAGTTTTCTATTGCCGCTTGCCTGAATGCACAGTTAAATAAAAGGTGGCTGTTAAGGGATTATTGCAGAACCAGGAAGAAAGGTAAAACAATGGCACAGACAAGACAGCTTCAATGGAGTTAAGGTAACCACGGTCAGGTCATTAGCAGAGAAAGCATGCTACTGTGAGCTGGCCTAAATGCTCCCCTCCCCACCCCTATCTCAGAGCTGGGGAATAAGTTAGTCCCACCAGATCAAAGGATAGAAGGGCTGTGGCTCTGGTTAGGAAATGTGTGTGCAGGTCTCTTATTTTAAATCTACTTCTGTAATGGCATGCATCTTTAGGCCAATTTATGCTTTGTGTTGAAGATGGTCCTGTACCACTGCTAGTGTCACATGCTCCTGAAAGGGAACCCTTCCAAGGTCCAACCTCCACTGGCCTGGGGGGCGGTATTCTGGGTGCTGTGAACCACATCTTTGTCTAGGAGTAGGTAAGCTACAGAATTTCATACTAAGAAAGCCATGCAGTGGAGAGACTATGAGAAGGTAAAGCAGTGCAGCCAGCCCAGGACCAACGACAGCTGTTTTATCCGACTTGGGAGAATAACAAAGAAAGATTTTGAGCAGCCACTGACACCTCCGCTACTACAGCGGAGGACATGCTTTCAATTCTTTACCTCCCTTTGCTTTTTGTAGTACAGCTATCTATACTGCCATGTGACAAAATTCATTCTACCCAATTAATGTTTAGGACTGAGACTCCTTTTATATTCCAGATCTCTTCATTTGATGGAGGTCAACAATTTCCAGCCGAGCAGAAACAGGAGAAGCAGTATACACACAGAGTGAGCATTATATGCAGATGCAAGACTGAGACCATTCTGCTGAATATGGGGGAGATGGGAAAGAGCAGGTGACAGATGCCATATTTTGAGCAAGTTAAGCTCTTCTATAAAAATCACTGGTGTCTAAGTGCAAATTCATAACTCTACAGCGTATTATAAAAAAGGAGTATCAGCTTCTTAAGAAATAAGTATTTGCTTGGATAACTACAGCAAGTTCAGAAAGCCAAGCTACCCATAAGGTACTGGTATGCACAGAGGCTATTGTGTTCACCTATGCATTACTAGCAATATTTAACTACACAAATGCAGGAAGAGGCTGGAGACACCCGTCATACAACAGGGCCCACTAAAACAAAATTATCCCTAATTGATTCCACAGTTTTTCAGTACCCTGGTGGCTGCTTCCTTTGTAATAAAACAAAGCAGCTATATCTCTTCATCCATGAAACGGCAGAAACAAGGGCAAGGTATGCAAACTCACCTTGAACTGACTTGTTTAACTTGAGGCCCTCACAAGTATCAACCACCACTACTACAATTTCTTCTTCAGCAGTATTTTCCAGTACAATGTCCTTGGACTGTAACTCCTGCAATTGCAAACACTCCTGACTAATGATACATGAGCATAGAGCCTTCAAATAGGAAATTAAGTTAAAATATTTGGATTGTGTAGAAACAACATTCCTAGCTAATGTACATTTAGTAAATAGAGTACAATTAATTTGGAGTGCAGGGTGGGATACACCATTTGGAAAAGTGTGTTCAAGGACCATTTGAACGCCTTTTCAAGAGAGGAATCAATCCTTTACAGGTCTGGAATTGAGAGTCTAGAGGGTATACTGATGCTGAGCTCATTTTACTGGCAATAGATGAAAGGATGGAAGGGATTTAAAGATGGTCCTGAAGTGGTAGCATTTAACAGTAAAAACAGCAGCTGCTGCCTTTACAAAATTATCTTAGTGACAAACAAAAAACATGTGGCCTGCTGGTAACCTTGTAATAGGATAAAGCCATTAAGAGGATACATTTATTGACTAGCAAAATCTTTCTGATGAACTTGCCCAGTCACAGAACTGATCAGTTGGGTGCTGGGGACTTGTACAGGATCAGAAGTAAATGGCTTGGAGAAGGAACAGTTAATTTATGGAAAACAGCAGGCACCCTTTTCCTACTTGATGCAGATACATTGGACTAGAGGAACCTCCCTTCCATCCCAAAGATCGGATTTGAGCACAAGGCAGTGAAATATTCCAAATTATGCTGACAAATACTTTTACAAATAGAAAGTCTGAGGCAATTCTGTATTGTACAGATTAGTCAAGGAATCTGAAAACGTTTGAGTTGCTTCCACATTTCCCCAGTATCTGCCCCCCACACTAAAGAAAACAATTATTTTGATGAGGGGGCACTCAAAAGAACTACAGCCAGTTATAACCTGTTTCTTTGGTCCCGAGATTTAAGATCAAACTACAGTTTTTAGTATTAGTGAATGAAAAACACAGATATTGTATTAACAAGCACCACAGAAATGCCCACAAAATAGTTTACAGGTTTATAGATGGCTGCCTGAATTACCAGGTAACAGAACCCAAAAGACTGGACAAGCAATTACTGAAAAGCCTTAATGCACACATTGAGAATGTGCAAGTATCTTCTTAAGGAGAGGCCACAAGGACCAAAGGATTCACAAAAGCAACAACAATTCAGTTTGATCCTAGCTCTGCCACTAATCACTGTGGAGCCTTGGACAAGTCACTTAACTGGTCCCAGTTTCCTCTTTTCCTCATACAAAGAGAATCTATAATGCACTTTGAAGATGCATTTTGGGGGAGGGAGAAGGAAAGTAGAGGAAGGAATTACACAATGACAACAAGTGCAAGGAAAGCAGGAAGATGGTTTTAATGAAATAAAAGCTTTGGAGGAGAAGGGAGGGTATCAACTCATTGAAGAAAATGACTATTTCATACATCTAGAATAACAAACTGATATCCAAATACTAGCACTTGTCCAGCTGAAGCATGAAATAACAAAAAAAAAGGAATGAGTGGTACAAAGTAATGGACTTGTTACTGATCATATTGTCAGTACTTCCTATACTGGACACCACTGTCCCCCTGTTTTACCTGTGGCAGGGTAAGGTGTTATGCCTCGTGGTTGTGTCAAGATTGACTGCATCGTTTTACTAACAGGTTATGGATTTGTACAGGATGGTTTGGTTAGGGATGATCCTGCCTCTGGTAGAGGTAGGAGGCAGGGTTGGACTAAATGACCTCTGAAGGTCCCTTTAGTCCTACTTTTCTGGACTATGCTTATCTAGTGACACACACGCTTTATTGTAGATTCCTCTGATATGACATAGCAGGAGGGGAACAGTTCAGAAGCATCCATCTCCCATTTGAAAAGTCTCCTCTTGCAAGGCTGAGCCATTAGCCCTAAATTCCCCATTATGAGAAATCAAATTAAGATCAACTTACACTCAAACAATATCAATCTACTTGATCTACATAAGCAGCTAACTGCGTTTTGCCTGTCCTGTTCTATACCTTCTCATCTGCTTCCCTTCTTTCTGCATTTTTAATTAAAAACACAGTTTGCCAAGCTCCTTTAATAATGTGGAACAGGGGAAAGAGCGGACATTAATTTTAAGTAGGCTTGGCTGGGAATTCAAGATGAAGCTTTAAATAAAAAACAAACAAACCTAGAAGCAGACAGGATAAATGCTTTTACGGTATGAGCTGGGATCAGCCCAAATCATCTTCAACAAGAGCGTGGGAAGGAATGGATTTAAGAAAGTTTTCCATCATCTGAGGACATTATAGCGCTGAAATGCATGTATAGTGAGCTCCCTTGAAGTGCAGAGCCCTGGAACTGGGGGAAGAAAAAGAAAAGGTATACCTAGACAGCAAGTATGCCCTTATCTAAACTCAGTGTGAACAATGCTCATTAACCATAGAAGCAATCTGCTGTAAGCATTCTACACCTCATTAAGGCTCCTAACCTTGTTTCTCCGGTGGCCTTATGCCCTTAATAGAAGCCTTGAACTTGATAGGATCTAGTCAGTTCAGGGTTGCGATCGAGGCCTTGAAACCAACAGCTCCTAATCAATATTGCTAAGTATCCAGTTAAAAAAAGTGCACATTATGAACTAGACAGCAAGGTGAAGAGGTTCTATGTACATAAGGTAGTGCTGGAGGGATGCTGTAGCTGTAGTGGTCCAGAAAATATGCAGGAAACAGATTTCTGTGGATGATTTCTTTTATTGAACCAACTGAGTAGTTGCCCGTGTACTTAAGGCATTTATACACTTAACCAACAAAAGGGATAATAGATATTTGTTACAATGTAAACAAAAGACAACACATTAGGACCTGGGACATGCTATACAGTTAAGTGGGATGCACCGTTCAAGATGCTATATTGCAAGCCAACTCAGGGGCTGGGTGTAAGCCATAAGCAGAGTAAGTTCCTAGTACTTTGGAACTCTGCAGCCACTGAAAAGCCTCAACAGAAAGCTGCACTGATGCTACAAAAAGCAATGTCAAGCAATATCTGGGTGGATTTCCTTTCCCTTTATCCTATGCCCAATGGCAGAGCTGCCACAGCTGCAGCAGTTATGATGCAATGCAACCCAGGGCAGTGCCAGGTATCAAGATGTCACTTTCAACATACTATCATTAATGGCTCAAAAAAAAATTCCAACATGTTCAGCAATCATATTTCCTGTTTAACAGCACCTGGCTAATTGACTGTTGTCTCCCTGTTCCGATAAATTCATGGCCCTCAAAGACCTTTTTTTTAAATTATGCTCCATCATCTCTGTATTCTAGATTTTACTAACAATACAGAAATAGGATGAATAACTGAACAGATGCATTCACCACACCCAAACTATCTGCTGCACAGTCCAGGATTTGAGCACCCTGTTCAACATAATTAAAGAATCATGACACTATCCTATCCTTTCCTCTTCCCAAGCACTTTTGGTTTCAAAGGATAACCTGAAAAAAATTGACACACTTTTTTAGGCCCAATCCTGCAAGGCAGCAAATGTCTCCAGTAAGGTGTTTACCCCCTTCAGTGCCCCTTGGGGCCAAAGAAGCACAAGGATGCTCAGCTCCATTATGAGTTCACCAGAAAGATTCGTGCTTCGGAAAACATCACTGAAACATGAGACCAAACCTCTGCACTGATAAGGGGGAATAAAACAGCCTAACAAGGTTTCATAAATTACCACTGTGATCATTGGCAGCTGGGCCACCCTATAGATGGAAGTTATGTTTGCCTCTTTCAGTTCTAAAGTAAAATTTCAAGCTGCAGACTCAGATTTAAACAGGGATGCTTCCTACATGGAGGGTTAAAAGTAGATGTGCAGTGTGGAAGGGAGTGGGGCTGGTGCAGGGATTGCCCAGCAGGGGTGGGGTGAGGGGCAGATCCTGCTGCTATGCACACACCCTGGGGGAGCTATGGGGGGTGGGATTGCCCCCAGATCTGTGCATGGGGTGAGGGCAGGCTGACACTGCAGGCTGGGGCCAGGTGCAGTGCTGGGCTCTTCCTGGAGAGGGACCTGTGCTTGGTCTGGGCAGCAGCAGTGCTGTGAGAGGAGGGTTATGGGCAGGTGGGGGGGGGGCAAGTTCTGGGGTGGCTGTAAACCCCTCCCCATACCCCCTCTACCCTATCCCAGCACTGCCACTGCCTGCCCCGAGCACAGCTCCAGCCCAGCTCCCCCACCGGGAAGAGCCCAGCGCCGCCCCCAGGCCTCAGCCCACAGTGGCAGCCCATCCTCGCCCTGTGCACAGATCTGCGGGCACATGCCACCCCTGCGGGTACGTGTACTGGTGGGATCCACCTTCCCCCCTCCCAAAGCTGCTTGTGGTTCCCTGATGCCCCTGCCCTGGCTGAGCAGAGCCTGCCCCTGTCCCACCCCACACCCTCCCTCACTGCAGGGGCCTTGATCTGCCCCCCCCCTTGCACCCCCCCCCAGACTTACCAGCCAGACACTGCACTCTAAGCTGCCAGGCTCCATACTGGCAATCGGACTGGTATTGGCCCATATGGCTCATTAATTGGCTATTGGTTGCCCCCCCCCCCCAATCTTTAGCAGCGCACCCCTAGTTAAAAGCAAGTCTTCAACCAAACTTCCAAGACAAAGTACTACAACTAGGGTATGTTAATAGGGAAAAAAGAGAATTAGCGTTCATCATCAACATTCATGGAAATCTGAAGAAGCCTTACCACCTGCACTCAGAACACCACCATGCACTCAACACTCAGGTGGAGTTCTTATTCCCTGAACTCTATTGATACTCCAAAATTAAAACAGTGTTTAAAGTAGTATTTTCTATGTAACTAATTCAGATAATTCTGCTACAGAATTAAGACTGTCATAAGCATTAACAAAATGAAATTTAACTAGTGAGAACTTGCTACTGAAACTAAATATCTATTTGACAGAACAGAACCAGGATGCAGCAGGTATTATTCTGAGCATTTATGTAGCACCCATTTCTAAGAGTATCTGGGTTCACTTTGTGTAAGCCTTTAATGGTTAGTGTGAGGGAATACATGCATCACAGCCACACTGTACAGCTATATATATTTGTGCTACATTTGATACTTTATTCAGTGGACCTGCTAGGCTGCAGCATCTCTGATGATTTTATTCAAATCTAATCTGGGTCACAGCTGAGCCATTTCAAGGTGTTGTTTTCCTCCAAATGCAAAACCAGCATTTAATTTAGAGAAAGAAAAATTCAACAGTGACACAGTTGGACAGTGATGGGAACAGCAACAGCAAAACACTTGACATAGGTCAGGTAGTGAGAGCAACTGAGGTGTTTAGACTTTATCAGCATGGCAAAATTATGAGGGTAGGAGTTGAGAGCACCTGACCATACTTTGCTGTATCTAAAGTTATCAGGTTATCCCATTAACAAAAGCATTTCCTTCTGGCTTGGAAAGGATATACATGTAACTCAGTCACAGTCAGTCCCACTGAATAAGAGTACCACAGTCTACTGACACTTGTCTTCCTTGCACTGGAAAGAGGAAGTAGCAAGAAGCTAACTTCTCTACTTTTTAAACTGGCCAGTAAAAACATGACTTTTTTGTGCTTCACTATACTAGACCTAAGCCAGGGGTCAGCAATCCCCAGCACATGTGCCAAGCATGGCATGCAAGGCCATTTTTCTCAGCACACCACCGCCAGCCCAGGCTCTAAGCAGCTGCTGCCAGCCACAGAGCCCAGGCTGCTCCCAGCAGGCGGCTGGGAGACTACAAGCCGACGGGGCTCCGTGGGCCAGCTGCAGCTGGGAGGCTGCAAACAGCTGCTCCAGGCTCCAGCATGTCAGCACTCTGGCACCTTCCAAGGTAGACATTGTGGTTTTTTCGGCACTCCGGCCAAAAAACTTTGCCTGCCCCTGGCCTAAGCTTTGCAGACTCATAAAAGCAATGGCGCTGCCCAAAACCAAGGGTAACAGGACAACATGATCAGCAAATAAAGTCACTCATTGCGTTACACAAGGTTCAGTGTTCTCTTAAAATGAAAAGGTTTCCTGAACTGTGTTAGCGTTGGATATTAGCAGGACTGTAGTCTAGTCATTAAAACAGGGAGGAGGAGTCCAACTCCGGCACTCTATTCTCTGCCCTGACACTGTGGTGACCTTGCCATTTCACTTGCTTGTGCCTTTCTTTCATCATCTGTAACATGGGTCCAGTGCATGTCAGACGGCTGAGTCAAAGATTAATTGATGCTGTGAGACCTTCAAATGAAGCACCATAGAAGATGCATGAGTTAGAAACTGAGGACAGCGTTCTGGACCACTGAAGTCATTGGCAAAACTACCTTAAGACTTCTTCAACAGGATCAAGATTTCACCCTGACTTTAGTAGGTTACTAACAAGGGTGAAAAATCACAAAGAAGCAAGTGCAAATTTTTTCCTTTCCTTTCCTCTCCTCAATTGACAGG